CCCCCCCCCCCCCCCCCCATTCCACAACAATTGTTTATTAAGGTTTAGTAGATGTATTAAACTTTGAATGAATATAGACATACTCAAGTCTACATTCGTTCAAAATTTAATGTTATTAATAATAATCTTTTATAGACACGACACTATGGAATGGAGGGAGCATACTATATTCACACCAACTTCGACACCAGAAATGCACTTGTATTTTATTGACTTATACAGAATATACACACTTATTGTGTGAATCAAATCCCACACACAACGATTATTTTTGTGCATGTATGTGAAACACAGTGTCAAATTTTGGTGTCAAAGGTGTCTAATTATAGATTTATCCTTGTATATATATACACACACACACCCATCATGCATGATTCGAACCCAACCACCATGGATTTGCTCACAGCTAATAAATAACACAACACTCCAAGTCATCCAAATTAATCACGAGAACCTTGTATCCAAAGTGGTCCCTCTATTTCGAGCACAATTAATACTGCATTTAATTAGTTTCGACTAGTTATATCTTTAATTGGTTAATGAGTGCAAGTATGTGTGAACATAATATTATGCACTACTCATATTATGCATTGCATAATAGCCACATATTTTGTGGGGGGTTACGGCGGGGTTGTGGTGGGGTGCAGGGGTGGGGGTAGGGTGGGGGGTTTAGGAGGTGGGTTAGGGGGGGTAGGAACCGTCAATTTTACGAACGGAGCACCAGAGGTGCCCCAAAAACCCATTGGCACCGCTAGTGGCACCGTTCTCCGGTGTCACTGGAACCGGGCCGTTCTTTAAATTGTGTTTATGATTTTCTTGTGCATGGGTACCAAAACCATGCACAAGAATGTTTGGTTGGGGTGGGGGTGGGGGGCATGGGCTTTATAAAGAGTTCATGAGTAAATAAAGCAAAAAAGTCTTTTAAAATGTACTATTTCGGTCCGGGTTTACTTTTTCCATTTGGAAGCACGTGCAAAATCTACTCTTCTTAAAAATGATTTGATTTAGGTATTGGTATTTAAATAAAATGCATAAATTACTTAATTACAACGTTCGAAACAACATAAAAAACTTTACAAAACAATAAATGACAATGAAAAACATGCATACGAACAAAAGTTATCAAAACTAATAATAACGAATGGAAAGATTAATGCACGATGGAGGGAGTATAAATAAGGCTTAAGGGGATTAATAATAACTTAATACTCTCTCCATTCCACAAAACTCTTTCTCTTTCGTTTTTTTTTGTTTTCCACAAAACACTTTCACTAATAACCAAACTATCACATCTTACTTTTTCCCATCACATCAGGGGCAAAATTGGAAAGCCAACTAAAATTATACTTTCCTTATTTTTCCTTAAAGTCAAAACCGGAAGATTTTTGTGGAACGGAGAAACTAGTAATAAAGATCTTTAATTATTGATACGTGCATGACTACGTGAGTATACATACATACATGTGTTTTGTCCTTTTGCTTGGGGGGTCTTGGACGTGTGGGGAAAAGATGGCAAAAGAAAAAGCTGTTAAAAGGGAAGAGATTGGAATGTGATGGAGCCTCCTCAAGAGGTCCACCACACACACATAAAGGGAAAAATAAGGGCCAACTCTTGTCGTTTTAGAAATTGAAAAATTTTGCTTTAAATAGGATTAAAGAGAAGCCATTTCCGAGTTTAGGATTTAAACTTTTTAATTCTTTAAATAAGAGTTAATAATGTCTACTGAGAAGAATAATGTCTAGCGATGGTAAATATTTACTTAAATAATGACTAATGGATAATGACCAAAAGTCTTATATTGGAAAATAAAAACATACTGTATTACATTAGAAAAGTCATTATGTTTTCGTCAATTCTCCTTTTTTTTATTCTTTTGTATTTTTTTCCATCATCAGGCAGAAGAGGAAGAGAAGGATCTATTGAAAATAAGGATTGAAAGCGCCATTGCAACATTGAACGATCCAGATAGTCCGATGGGAATCTAAAACATTAATGAAACATATATGCGACGAAAGAAAAAAAAGAAGAAGAAAAGTGAGAAAATGATTTACTGTATTGTTAATTAATTAATTAATTAGTATATGTGTTGATTGCTTAATTAGTGTGTTCCTCAACGCAGTATTTGATTGAGTGAAAGCTTAATTATATCACTTTGCAATGCTGCTGCCATGCATGCTCTTTTGCTTCTCTCGTCGAGTCCCTAATCTAATTAATTAAATACTCCACCCCTCCCAAAAACATATTCCTTTTTCTTTTTTTTCTTGTCCCACAAAAGTCTTCTCTTTTCTATTAAAATGTCACTTTTATCTTTACTAATTTTTAACCTACCTATCATATCATACTTTTTTATTAATGGTCTACCAATATGTTCATTTGAGAAAATTTGATGCGAAAACTGTTGAGAATTGACAAAGCTTGAAGAAGAAGACATCCATGGCGCAAGAATGTGAAACCAAATAAGCGGAAAAATCTCAAGTTGTTATTTCGTCGCAACATCGTCTCACAAAATAGCAAAGAACGGGTTTATATATAGAAAACATGTGTTGAGGTGGACAAAATGAAAAGTCTAATCTATATTAAAAGACTAAGCTATATATTATGACTAACACCCCCCCAAGTTGGAGGGTGGATGAACCTCCAACTTGGAAAGCAAGTTGTGATGTGTCGGTCCTGTAAGACTCTTCGTAAACATGTCTGCCAACTGAATAGTGCTAGGAATATGAGTGAGAGTGATGAGCTCATCTTGTAACTTGTCACGAACAAAGTGGCAATTAATCTCTATATATTTGGTTCGTTCATGATAGACGAGGTTGTTGGCAATATAAATGGCAGCTTTGCTATCACATCGGACTGGAATGGGAAGAATATTCTGAATATCAAACTCAGCAAGAAGTCTTATAAGCCATGCAAGCTCAGCAGTGACCCGATGAATGGATCTATATTCAGCCTTAGGAGAGCTTAAGGAAACAATAAGTTGCTTCTTAGATTTCCAAGAAATTAGACTGCCTTCTAGGAGAATGAATTATCCATTTACAGATCGTGTCATAGGACAAGAAGCCTCGGAATTACAATAGGCCTGCAATGTGAAGACTTGGGAAGGGTTCAGAAGAATGCCTTGAGAAGGGTTACCACTGAGCTAACAGAGAGTGGATGGCACTATGGCAGCATCCTAGTGAGCTTGTATAGGATCTTTCATGAACTGGCAAAGGAATTGCACGGCATAAGCAAGTTCAAACCTTGTGTGGGTAAGGAAATTCATTTTTCCTATCAAGCTTCTGTAGGAGGCAGGATTTGGAATGGGTGGACCAGAATCAACATGTAATTGTAAGTGTGCCTGTAGAGGACAAACTTTAGGTCGAGCATCAGCACAGCCAAACTCCTTTAAAAGATCAGCAACAAATATCCTTTATGTGATTATCATGTTCTGTTTGTGATATAGGATTTCAAGTCCTAGGAAATATCTCAATAAACCAAGATCTTTAATTTTGAACATAGAATCAAGGTATAACTTTAGAGCTTTAATTTTTGAGGAAGCATTTTCAGTGATGAGAATGTCATTAACGTATATGGCCAAAAATACCATTGCAGTGTCTCTTCTTTAATTTTGATGAAAAGGGAGTAGTCATTTTTAGATGGTGCATATCCTCTAGACCTAAGAACAAGTGATAGTTTGGAATGCCATTATCTAGATGCTTGCCTCAAACCATATAAAGATTTTTGTATCTTGAGTATCTGCTTCTGGTCAGCCATATAGTATCTTGGAGGAGGCTTCATGTAAATATCTTCATTTAAATCTCCATGAAGGAAGGCATTGTTAACATCTACTTGAAAGTATTAGGAAGTATAATTAAATTAGGATACTTCTTTCCTTTCCTACTAGGATTATTCTTTCCTTTCCTACTTGTACTTTGATTACTCTTGTATTCCCTATATATAGGGCCATATCTATCAATATTCAATAAGACAAGTTATTATCAAATTGTATCATGGTATCGGAGCTAAGGCTCTCAAAAACCTAGCCTCTCTTTTTTTCCGACCGCCGCCCACCATGGCAGCCCCGTCGGATCCTTTGGCGTCCTTACCCTCCGGAATAAAACTTTTGCTTCGGAGTCTCCACAACTTAATCCCAGAAAAACTCACCGAAACAAATTATCCGGCATGGTCTCTCAATGTCCAGACAGCTCTTTCAGCTAATCTCCTCCTTGGATGGATTGATGGTCATGAAGCAGCCCCGGCGCCAACTATCTCCAAAAACGATAAAACCGTCCCTAATCCAGAGTATACCTCTTGGACCATCGTTGACACACAGATCCGCGCCTGCCTCCTAGCGGTCATCAGCCCCTCCGTTCACAAACATG